CTCAATCGGCTTGTATATTCAGTATAATAAAAACCGATTAATCAATAGAGCCGATGAGCCGATACGCATCTCTAGGTGAAACCCGCGTTTAGCTATGTTTTTTATTATGCAAAAGCGAATTTCACCCTCATGTGATCTACATAGCGGATTTTACTAATTCACAGCGCGGGTTTCACCCAGTCCTATTATTATAACTAAGAAAATGCGCAGAATTAAATATCCGGAGCATATCATATGATCATCTCATTGTACAAACGCGTAAATATGCATGTTTTGCTACATTAAACTACAAATTTGAACACGCGTGCGGACGACAAAAAATTTCCAAATTACATTTTTGATATAATCTTCATAATGTTTATGTAGGCTTAGTCGATTCTTTTTTACGTATATGAGAATTTCGGAAAATTAGGAAGAGATGCGTCAAAAAGTCACTAATTTTGGTCGAAATGCATCAAAAACGTAATTTATGTATCACTTTGCGTAGACACTAAGGGTCCTCCGCTACACTCCGGACAATAAACTTATTAAAAGACTTCGGCGAGTTGCATTAAATTCACCTCGTGACAGTACTTATTCCACTTTGTAGTTGGTACCGTAGCTGGGTATTGTCCACTTTGGTGTTAATTATTGTGTATAAAATAAACTTTCCTTTTACAACTGATGTATATTTTTACCTGTTCTACAGATAATTTTATTTTTATAATATCAACACATTTAACATTATTAAATTTTTGTTTGTCAATAAATCTTGACAAGAAATATAAAAAAGGCTTCGGGCTAATATTAAAAAAGTTAGATATAATCAAGAATTTGCCGACTGGTTTAAGATGTAATTCAGGATTTTAGTTTGTCGAAATGTGTTACGAAAGTTTTTCAATACATCCATATCTTTTGAAAGTGCTTGAGAACTCGACTTGTAGAAGATCTGTTAACACCTAGGTGTTTAGCAATTTTTCGAACTGATTCATTTGCTAACGATGTTTTAGAAGTAGATATGCGTATGTAGTCTTTTAATATTTATATTAGTCACCTGATCCTAAATTGCCGAAATCAATAATTAACAAATCGGGCAAAAAATCATTCGGCTAGTTTTTTGTCAGGTGTCACAGACAGCTGTAACATTTTTCTCTAATCGTGACTAATGTATTTATTTCGAGGTCTCCTTTTCTTTCGTTGCCATTGTCATTGTTTGGTGATTTTCGGTCAATAGTAACGGTTAGGTGAGGTTAAAGAAAGTGTTAGAGTAAGGATATTAGGATTTATTTTTATATGGTTGTAGTCAAAGTTATCATAATCAATGCCAAAGATAAAGTTTTGAAAACGACTATATGGAAGCATATATTTCTCTCAATAAATAGTTTTTCGCTTGCTACCTAATCAGATTGCTGAAATACATATTCGAACCTCCCTATGCAATCTCTTGAATACTATCCAACCTATTGGAAGGGATCTATTCAATTACTTTTTCATATTCTATAGTTTCAAATTGAAATTTCTTAATGCAACACATACATCTACATTCAAAAATGTGCTTGGAGAACTCAAAAAATTTACATGAATTTAACTTGATTTAAGTGAAATTCGTAAAGCAGAAAACCGTAAAAGTCTGACTTGTACCCGGGGTATATCCAACTACCCCAGTGGCACCGACAGATTTTCACTTAGGGATATTAGTCGATTCGGGGTTAGTCGACTTAGTCGACTTAGTCGGCTAAGTTGGTCGAATTTTTAAAAAGTCGGCTTAGTCGACCAAATACCTGATTTTAGATTGACTTACCCGAATATCGTTATAATCATAAATCTTGATTATATTTAGCCTTTTACGGAAATGCAAGACATTATACGAAACTTGATCAAAGCATGTATAGCTTTAACCTTTTACAGAAACATGTCGTTAACGTTGATTAAAATAAATCAGGTTTTAGAAGCATTGAAAGCAAGGGGTAAATTGCGCATTTATGTGTACTGCAATTAGAATTTTATAAAATGTAAAACGAAATTTTATGTAAATACTGTATATTCAAATCAGTTAACCGTTAATAAAAAGTTTAATTATATCTCTACATGTAATGTTTCAAATATATAGCGATAGTTTAAAATAAATAAAACCGCACAATGTGTTTCATCAAGTTTTTGAAAAATGTATACGGTAATATGTAAATAATATTTAAATGATTTATGGTTTAAAACTTATCATAATTTTAATTAATGTAAATAATATCAATGTAAAACTTAATCTTCGTTAATTAATATTTTATGTATTTTTTAATAAATAACTATTACAAACCTCTTATTTATCTATATAAACATAATTATTAAATATCTCTTGCTTTTATATAAAGAAGCGCTTTCTCCTAATCGATTATCTTATATTACAATGTCTAATTTATCAGATACTATAGGGCTTTCTGATCATGAAACCTCTCAAATTAAACAAACACAATCATTAAAAAAACAAACCTCTCTAGATAGCTTCTTGTCATATAAGGGTGTTACTGAAAGTGAAGGTTCTAGCCCAGAAGAATCAGATAATGATATAATTTCTGAACAATATGAAATTTCAGCAGAAGCATCTTCACCCTCTACTATATCTCGTTCATTACAAATACCTGTAAAAAGAAAAAAGAAAATACCTACTTATAGAAAAACACAAAATGAAAGCTGGGTGTGGCATTACACAGAGCGTAATAAAGTTACAAAACTAAAATATTGTAAAGTAAATATAGATGATGGCAATGGAAATATTGAGTGATGTAAAACTATTTTTTAACCTTCTACTTCAGTTACCAACATTACATCACATTTACGTACCGTACATAAGATTTTTAAGGACCAAAAATTAGATGCGCCTATAGTATCTTCAAGTGAAAACAGAATACAAACAACAATTAACTCAATATTTGAGAAACATGCTGAAATAACACAACCACTTCCTAAAGAAAAACAAAAACGTATAACTTATTGTTTAGTAGCTTGGTTGGTTGAGGCAATGATGCCTTTAGACTGTATTAATCATGACCGCTTTAAAGATTTCTGCTATAAAATTAATTCATGATTTGGAGCTCCCTGTACTAATACAATAAAAAATAAAATTGCAGAATCAGTACTATATACACAATCAAATTTAAATAAACTAATAAATGAAACAATGATATCTGTATGTTTTACAACAGATTTATGGACCCAAAATCATGTTTCATTTATTGGAGTAACTGCGCATTGGCTTGCTAAAAGCTTCGTAATGCATCAAGTATTAATTACTATAGAAAATTTTAAATACCCTCATACGGATGATCATATTGAAGACTTCTTGCGCAAAGTTCTTACAGACTGAAATATAGAGGATAAGTTGTTTTCAGTAACTACAGATAATGCTGCATCCATGATAAAGGCAATTAGACAATTAGAAACTACTCACTTCGGATGTGCGGCCCACACAATTCATCTTGCAATTATAGACGGGTTAAAAAAAAGTATTGCATTAGTTAAAAAAGCCAAAATAATGAATAATTTTCTTGTTAACCATGATAAATATAGGCCTCGATTTCATAAAATTCAAGTTGAACTAAATAAAAAAAAGGATACAGTTTCAAATCTAACAACTAAATCTAGTAATATATTGAAGCCTATCTCAAGCGATACTGCAACACGTTAGAATTCTACATATCTTCTTCTTCAAAGACTTATAGATCTTCGTGAAGTAATTAGTGCATTAGCTGAGAACCTAGTAAAAGATCCTGATAGAATAATTAGAATGGATGGAAATAATTTAAAAGAAAAAATAATAATAGATGAAGATTGGCAAGGATTAATCGAATTATATGATCTTCTATATCCTTTTGCATGTGCATCCGTCTACATGGGTGGAAACCAGTATCCAACATTAGGAATGGTATACCCAACTATAAAACACCTTTTTAAACATCTTGATAATATAAAATATCAAATTACCCATTTATCTGTTATTGAAATACATAAATGTCTTTATCAATCAATGTTAAATCGCTGGGAGGATCCTAATATAATTGGATTGCTTGCTACAATTTTAGACTCCCGTTTCAAATCATTATCAGATGTATCATCTGATAAAAGAAATGAAGTAATAGAAGAATTAAAAAAAAGAGTTAATCTTTCTATCCAATTATCAGCTGAAAATAATTTATCAAATACAGTTAGTTCAACATCTGACATGTCTTCATTTTATGATGATGAAATAGAATTAAACTCACCTATTGATACGGAACTGCAAGTATATTTTTCTATCCCACCAATCCCTAAATACGAACTTACGGATCCTTTATATAAAAATTGCAACCCTTTAAACTGGTGGAGAGAACATCAAGGTACTTTACCACTTCTTGCTAAACAGGCAAGAATCTTTCTTGCTGTGCCTGCAACTTCAGTCTCTTCTGAGAGACTTTTTTCTAGTGCCAGAAATGTTCTAACAGACAAACGTAATCGTTTAAGTCCTGATATGGTTCATGACTTATTGTTTTTAAAAGAAAACTCACCAGTCATGAACGTTTATGTTGGATTATAGAATAGGTAAGAAATTAAAAAAAAAAAAAAAAAAAGATCTAAATATCAGGCTTACGAAAAATATTTTTTAAAACTCTTATTGTTCAATGATATAGTTAAACACATACGTATAACCAAAGAGTAGAATTTGTGACCTTTAATTTCATTTTTTTAAAATAAAATATGTATACTTTTTTTTATACGTAATCAATAGTAATATGAAATTAATAAATCGCATCTATGTAATTTAGCATAGCAGAAGTTCGATCGCTTTTTAATATTTTATTGCACTTATTTAGATTATAAGTACCGGTATAGTTTATCAATATAATAAATAGTAATAACGTAAAATGTATTACAAAACAGAATTAAAGTATTGTATATCGATATACACATCGTGAAATCTGAATAAGATAGTTGAGATGAAACTAATTTAATGTATATATAGTAAAATGATATTCTATCCAGGGTATGATTGACATTTTTTTCAGGATATTTAAACAACTAATCAAAACTAACTTCCGCTATGCTAAATCGCATGATTTTAATATTTAGCCGGCTAAGCTGGCTTAGCCGATTTTTATAAAATCGGCTTAGTCAGTCGATAAATTTACCTCGACTAATACCCCTATTTTCACTAATCGACAGTGATTGACCAATTAGATTACAAGATCAGGCGTAATATGAAATCAAAACAAAAAACAACATTTTTAAAAAAAACTACCATAACTCAAAATTTTGTCTATGTAACCACCTTCTGCACATTAGTAAAAAAATTTCCTTGCAAAATTTTAGTATAAAACAAGCCTCGTTATTATTGTAAACCTGACCTTAATGTA